GTGTGTGTGTGTGTGTGTGTGTGTGTGTGTGTGTGTGTGTGTGTGTGAGTGAGTGTGTGTTTAATAACTGTGTGTGTGCATGGCTGTTTGTGCAATCTGTCGGCATACGCTTCCATACATGCTTATGTGCATCAACCTTGTCGTGTTTGTTGTGGGTTTTGTCATGTCCGCGTGTCATTTGTCGGTCTGTATGTGATCGTCTCCAGGCCGGACTCTGCAGAAGGTTTTTCTTCTTGTCCTTCGACTGATGGTCGCAACGGAGAGAAGGATTGGGAAAACGACTCCAACACCTCATCCACTCCCTCCAACAATGAGTACACAGGTAGAAGACATACCTGCAATTATTACATAGTTTGTCGAGATTTACACAGAGATTTTTGCAATCTCATGCGCGGGCTTTCTTCCCACAGGACCTAAACTATACAAGGAGCCGAGTGCCAAGTCCAACAAGTACATCATCCAGAATGCCCTGGCTCACTGCTGCCTGGCTGGCAAGGTCAACGAAGGCCAGAAGAACAAGATACTTGATGTATGTGTGTTGCAAATACGTGTGTCTGTGTTTTTCTGCATGAAATATGCTGCACTAAACGATGACTTTTCTCTTTGGTTTTGTGCAGGAAATCGAGAAATCCGAAGCCAATAACTTCCTTCTGTTGTTCCGTGACGCCGGATGCCAGTTCAGGTCCGTGTACGCCTACTGCCCGGAGACAGAGGAGATCACCAAACTGGCCGGCATCGGGCCGAAGAGCATCACGATCAAGATGATCGAGGGCCTGTATAAGTACAACTCGGACAGAAAGCAGTTCAGCCTGATCCCGGCCAAAACCATGTCCGCCAGTGTGGACGCCATCACCATCGCCAGCCATCTGTGGCAAACCAAGAAGCAGGCCACGCCCAAAAAACTGCACACTAAGTAGCACCAGACGGCCGGGCAAGATTTGGACACGCTTCTCTGGAACGAGCACAGGATAATTTGTGTGTTAGTTTTACATTTTCATTAAAAGGACACATGGTCTCACTGTAATATTTCACAACTGGAATGTAGAACACAAGTGGGCCTCACAGACATTGTTGTTACAGAGTTGACTGTTACGCTCTGGACTAATTAAACGGGACACAAGTGTTTACTTGTCAGCATGTGTATCAATGTTCTCACGTGCCAAAAAAAAGGAGAAGAAAACAAAAGGCGGACCAATGCCTTACCTAGTTGAACCACTGAAGCACTGAATGTCACGCCTCACAAAGAGGCACTTTGGTTTCTATAAGTTGATCATGTGTGGCCTTATGCTTGTTTTGTGTCATTTGGATGCGCTGTGAGTGTCGGTGTGAGTTTGTCAGCACCTGTTAAAAAAAGACTGTTGTGATAAAGGAGAGTTTGTGTGCACTCGCAGGTCTGGGATCAGATTACGCCCCCCTCAGGCAGGTTGTTGCAAGGGTGGCCTGTCTGATCCGTGATCAGGTAGAGGCAGCATTTTTTTATGAGAATTTTGCTGCTACACAGGCACGTTTTTTTAGTTCTTGCTTTTTTTTCCTTTTTTTTTTTTTTTTTTTTTTTTACATGTGACTGAAAAATGTATAAACATTTCAAATTTGTGTATGTGTGTGTGTATAGTGAAGTGCCAAGAAGAGTGAGGAAAGTACCTCAGCTGGCGATTGCAATTACTTTCCAAAAGTGTGGAATGATGAGAGTATTGAGCATATGGAGCGCCATGAAACAATTCTGGAAAGCACCTGCTATAGACTCTTAATTTATTTCATTTTGATAATGCTTTGAAGATATTCTGAAAGGCGTTTTCGATTTTATTCAGAGAAACATAATATACTGTACGTATATATAAGTGAAGTTTGTATATGATGGCAGATCCATCCAACATGAGCGAGTCCGCTTGTAGCTTTTATAATTTATCACGTATGTGTATCAGTATGTTGTACTTTGGGGCCTTTAATTATGCTACAAATGCAAAAAGTCTGATCACTCAACAGTATCACTGGTAAGACGATCATCAGTAGTAGAATATAGACGGAAGTCCCACCCTGTGTCATCAGTCTGTGCAGTTTAAGAGTAATTGGAATAATCACCATCGACCATGTTGCAGTTGGAACTAACAAATACTTAAAAAGCCACTTTAATGTGGATGTTGTCTTAACTGTTACGAGCTTGTTTACCCTCAAAGTAGATTGTAAATATATGAATTCACCCACGATGCTTCCCCAAGACCCTGTCCACTGTCGTCAGGACCGTCATGCTTGTTACTTTACTTTTACATTACTTTTTATCACATGTTCCTTCTGCATGTGTTGGCACTGTACATATATATTTTGGCATATAGAAGTATTTTTTGTAATGACATTGACCTGTTGGAGGTGTGTACTAATGAAGCAGTACAGCCGTTGAAGGAAGTGTGTTGAAAGCAAAGGCAAGGTATATGAAATCTTAGTGAGGTTTTATTGAGGTATTGTATGAAATCCATGAAGCATACTGAGAAAACCATTGTATTTTTTCCAACTCTGAATTCATTTTCTGTTCAATTTACTAAATATGCTCAACTGTTCATGGGTTTATGTTGTTTTTCTATTACTTTGAGCTTTATTAAAATGCCAGCTATCAACAGTATTCATGGTTTCACATCCCTGTCTTGATTGATTTAGGTGGAATATTAGCCTCATTGAAACTGACATAATATCCTTCTACCACCACAAGAGCTAAGTAAATAACATAGGTAAGTGTCATCATTACTGTGCCTTGTAGGCTGCACACACACAGACCATCAGAGCGACTCAGACACTTGTAGTGTAGCTGGTTATCTTTGTCCAGACTACTGAAGCCTGCTGTGGCAAGACACTGAATACCATAGACCTAAGGCTGTTAAATATAACAGAAAATATTATTCAAAAAATCTGCACATGTTCCCTCATATCCTCATATTGATCTTATTGATGGATAATCAGCTGGGCCCATGTATCAGCCAATATTAGCTCATTGCAGATATGTCGGCTGATAATTAACAGAAAATAGAAGACAGAAATGCCAAAGACATGTTTGAGGTAATTTAGAAAGTGTTTCCAGTACATTGTTTGAATTGGAGAAAGCTGTTTATTCCTTTGTTAGGGATAATAAAACAAAATGTCCTCTCACACATCTTGGAGACAATTGTCTAATAAATTAATCAAATGGAATCTTATAAAAATAAAGTTGTATGCAAAAATATCACTATAAATTCCTATATAGCATTTAGACCTATAAACAATTCACATTTGGTTTTGCGTGGATTGTGTATTTAATTATGAATCCGACCAGTGTTGGATAGAGACTTGATGGGATAGATAGAGGTTCACTGAGGGGCCACAGAGGGTCCGTGTTAATAAAGACAGGACACTGCAGGCATACAGAGGACTAACATCATCCACACATGTGTTTCATTGGTTTGGAAGTAAAAGTACTGCTCTTAAAATCTTACTTAATCCTGGTGTCGTCTTAGGGGTCAAAAATGACCCGTCACTATGTTTAACAGCATAGGAAACCCCTTTAATGATCTTTTTTCAACTTGAAATTCAACGACTTTTCCTAGAATGACCCCAACATGAAAAAAAGTTAAACATTGCCTTTGTTCATATTTCCATAAAAGCTGTACACCAGCAGGGTACACATCTTGTCTTAGGGGTCATTTTTGACCCGGTAGTTATAAAATCATTTTCATACTACAGAAACCATAAAAAACACACCACAACACACACACATACACACACACACAAGACGCGCTAACATAACGTACGTTAGCACGTCTTTTGCTAACATTAGCACGTATTTTAGCACGTCATTAGCTAATGTTAGCACGTATTTTAGCACGTCATTAGCTAACGTTAGCACGTATTTTGCTAATGTTAGCACGTCTTTTAGCACGTATTTTGCTAACGTTAGCACGTCTTTTGCTAACGTTAGCAGGTCTTTTAGCACGTCATTAGCTAACGTTAGCACGTATTTTAGCACGTATTTTGCTAACGTTAGCACGTATTTTGCTAACGTTAGCACGTATTTTGCTAACGTTAGCAGGTCTTTTAGCACGTCATTAGCTAACGTTAGCACGTCTTTTGCTAACGTTAGCACGTATTTTAGCACGTTATTAGCTAACATCAGCACGTCTTTTGCTAATGTTAGCACGTCTTTTAGCACGTATTTTGCTAACGTTAGCACGTCTTTCGCTAACGTTAGCACGTATTTTGCTAACGTTAGCACGTCTTTTAGCACGTCATTAGCTAACGTTAGCACGTCTTTTGCTAATGTTAGCACGTGTTTTAGCACGTCATTAGCTAATGTTAGCACGTATTTAGCTAGCGTTAGCACGTATTTTGCGAATGTTAGCACGTCTTTTGCTAACGTTAGCACGTCTTTTTGCACGTCATTAGCTAACGTTAGCACGTATTTTGCTAATGTTAGCACGTCTTTTGCTAACGTTAGCACGTCTTTTAGCATGTCTTTTGCTGACGTTAGCACGTCTGTTATTTTATGATGGATCAGAACCCAGAGGAATTTTGGCTAAAAAACTCTTTATCTAAGTTATCTTTTCTTAATTGTTAAGTCTTGACTTTTATGAGGCTTACACTCTTGATTCTCTTGTATCCCTCTCTCATTTCTCCCTCTATTTTTCATGCGTCCCTCAGAGGCAATAAACTAGCCCATATCCCGTTCTTTCTAAGCTCTCCCAAAGAAAGAAAGGGAAGGTTAGTAATGCTCCGAAAAAAGTGATTCAACAGACAAAGTGTACCGGATGTGGCTCCATGTAGAATTAGCTCCATGTGACTCAAGCCTGCTTTTCATCGGACCTTCTTTCAACGCAGACTCGCATAAAAAGTAGACGAATGTGTCAACAGTGAAATCATTTGACAAATTACATTACTGCCGTTTTTTTTAACGACTATTTTTTATGACTATTCATAAAAAATGTTCTGACATGACATCTGACAAGTTTCATCTCACTTTATTCATCTTTACGTATTTGATTTGTTGCTACCATGTTGAGCTCTTGCTGCTGATGTGAAGTTTGAGTGTGTGTGTGTGTGTGTGTGCGCGCGCGCGCGTAGTATGGATGGAGGCGGCGCTCCTGCAGACAGCAGCAGGCAGGGCTGGGCAGCACCGGAGCGGCAGAGACAGATCCAGCAGGGAGGGGACGCAGTCAGAAGAGGCGGAGGAACAGACAGGACAACAGACAGGACACACACCGCTGACAACACCGAGCAGCACCTCGTGACAGCGTCTGTCCACAGGAAAGGAAACACCCGGGGAACTGTTTTTTTCATCCCATGTATCTTTAGAAACAAGGTGAGCATTACACGCAGCACTGTTCGTGTTGTTCCAGAGGAAGCTGTCAGTGCGCACCCCGCCCGTCCAGCTATAACCATTGGAGGATGCCTCTCTCTCCCCTTCGGCCTGGCTAGCTACTCAGTCTCCCCTCCTACCAACCGAAATTAGTCCGCTTTGTATGAGCTCCAACGGTAACTAGCTATTTGTTGGTTTTGCTGTAATCCGGAAGCTATGCAAAGCTAACAAGTAGCCTAAGCTCCTTATGGTGTTTGACTTGAGGCTTAGTGCCAGTGTTATTAGCCTCCTCTAATGCTAGCTTAGCAGGACTGCAGTGCTCGTGTGTGTGTGTGTGTGTGTGTGTGTGTGTGTGTGTGTGTTTGTGTTTGATTACTTCGCAGCTGGGCAAAATAGATATTTCTGTGTTTTGTAGCAGTTGTTGATCGATAGATGGCCATGATGCACGAGAGGCTACTCACTGTCATGGCAGTAATATAAGATATTTCTCTGCTCCATCAAGACAACATGTGGAGGAGAGTGCATCCTTTCAGGCTAAGTTGGAGACAGAAGTCGCTGTTTTTATCTCAGTCTCTGTACGAGCTTATGTGTTCATCAGAGACTTGGAATCAAGACGTGGAATGTAGATCACGATCATCTGACGAGGAAAAGCTGGACTCCTCGTGTCATATGTCAGATGTTTGATGCGGGATAGATAAATCAAAGGCTGAAGAGCATAACAATACCTCCTAAGCAGAGGCTCAGTCCATCTGGATAACACCACCTGATTTACTCGATTAGGTGGAGCCTGAAGATAAAGTCAGCACGCAAACAAGAGCTTGTTGCAAATCACAACAGACTGCACTGCTGTCACCTTGTACACCTTTGATCTACCAATATTTCCCCCTAATGTGTGACTGCATTTTGGATTTACGCATTGTGAGCTTCATGCATGTTGGATGAAATTTGACCGTGGACTAAGATGGAAATCTGTACATTTGGGTTCATACAGGAGAAGTAGGCTAGTGTGAGATGTGTGCATTCATTTCAGATGCGTACAGTTCCACACATGCATGTTTACAAGCTTTCCAGTCGAGCCACTGATGATCTCTATGCTTATACTTTTATGCATTTCAGATGCTTCCTCCAATAGAAACTTGCTACTAGTGCTGGACAATATGGCTGAAATCATTATCACAGTATCAATCGGGATATTTTCTGATATTGATGTATTCTACATGTTGCACATATTTGGGACCAAACCTTAAGATGTAAGAACTGATTTTGTTAGTTTTTGTGTGTGTGTGTGTGTGTGTGTGTGTGTGTGTGTGTGTGTGTGTGTGTGTCCGTCATTGTCAGCCCGTCGTCACCATGACAGCGGAGGAAACCATAAATGTGAAGGAGGTGGAGATCATCAAGGCGATCCTGGACTTTCTCAACTCCAGGAAGTTGCACATCAGCATGCTGGCTCTGGAGAAGGAGAGCGGCGTCATCAACGGGCTCTACTCAGACGACATGCTCTTCCTCAGGTAGGTGAACTTAACGGCAATAACCACAACGTGCAGTCTGGGTCTCCTCCTCTCAGGTTGCAGCTCAAAAAATGGAAAACAGGCAACTGTTCCAGTCGTGAGTTTAGTTACTCTGGTAGTATCCTCTACATCGGGGATATTGTAACACTGCACCGCTGCTGTGGATGTGAGTGCTCCCTTGAAAGTCAGCCAATAGTGTGTTGACTGCAGTTCTACTCGGTGTTAAAATACATTTTGGTATTTTACCTTCTATTGCGTCAATAGCTTGTCATGTTAAACCTTTATCAAGAAAATACCACAACAAATAGGACGTCAGAGATTCTGGAAATCCCTCGCTCTTCAGTTATACATTATAGAAACACATTGATATGATATTTTTGGGACATTTAAAATGTGGTGCCTGTGTTTTTAAAAATGAACTCTCTCTGTTTCAGGCAACTGGTGCTCGATGGCCAGTGGGATGAGGTCTTGCAGTTCATTCAGCCTTTGGAGTGCATGGATAAGTTTGACAGGAAAAGGTCCGTATGTACAGGTTCATGTATCCTGTGTTGATGCCTACAGCAGCAGAGTCAGAGGCAAACTGCAGCAACGCTTCTCTAATGTCTGTGTGACTGTCATGTCCTCAGGTTTCGTTACATCGTCCTCAAGCAGAAGTTTCTGGAGGCTCTGTGTGTGAACAACGCCATGTCAGCAGAAGATGAGCCACAGCATGTAAGTCATTAAACTTAGAGAAACGTGCTACTAACTAACTAACTAACTATCGGTATTCGTTAATGTTCTCTAAGCCTCCCGTGTGACGACACAGACTGTCACTGGTTTTTCATGGCAGTAAACAACAAGCATCAATCTTAAAAGACAAGAAGAGAAGCAGGCAGTTGTTTTTTAATACATGTAGTTTGAAACTCGAATTGTGCAAGTCATCTAAACAAACCTCACGATCTATAAAAGAGAGGGGAAGGCAGGGTGTGTGTGTGTGTGTGTGTGTGTGTGTGTGTGTGTGTGTGTGTGTGTGTGTGTGTGTGTGTGTGTGTGTGTGTGTGTGTG